CACCTTAGAAAAAGGACAACAATAACATCCCCTTTTTAGCATAATTTCATAAAAAAAGCAACTTTTTTTGGACTTCAGAAATCCAAGTTCTCGGACCTCAAACTTTTTTAAGATTCCTTTGGGATTTTCGAGATTTGTTCCTCTCTTAGAGTTCATATGAGCGACGCTTCATCTGGGGATTCCACTGACGCTATAGACGAATCGCCCTCGGTTTCTCTGATCGAGTCCTCTTTGAGCCAGATCGAGCAGGATACGTCTTCTGATCCAGCGATCGCGGTTGAGATTGCTCTTGGTATTCGATTTCAAACCCACTCCGACTTTTCTTTGGAAGCATACTTAAGACCACTCTTGTGTATGATTTGTTAGACATTAAAGACAACAGCAACAATGACAAAGAACAACCGAAAGAAATCGCAGTCCTCGCTGAGGCGCCATCGTCCCAGCCGACATTGACCGAATCGACGAATGTTGATCTATCAGACGACAGCGACAACAGCGAACCCCCTGAAGAGATCGCAAACCCGTCTGAGATGCCGACACAAACCCCTAGCACAACAGCGACTCCTGACATTGATCTACTGGACACTAAAATCGAGAACATGGACGATTGTGAGGATGAACTACAGGACGAGATCGCGACCTCGTCTGAGGTGACAACCCCGAATCCCCCGAATACACGACAAAAACGCAAACAGATACCGTTAGATGTGTATGCGGGTTATTCTACAGAACCTTTAAAGAAACGGAGACGAAGGAAGAGAAAGACACCAAAAGATGAGACGATGACAAAGTTCAACGATGTGATTGTGCAATATACAGAAAGGACGATCCCCGAAGAGCTGGCAAAGTAAGTCGGGAAAGGGTGAAGAGCATCTGGTAACTGACCTGGATGGCTATTGTGGACAACGCTAGATACTGGTACCAGCGCTATTCATATTTCAGTCAATTTGATCGTGGTATCCTGATGGATCGAGGTAAAGAGGAAAAGAAGGATGAACAGAGCAAGAGTAGACGCTTATCAGATTGGATGGGACCGAGAAAGAGGGGTGGTTTTCGGTTACTCCGGAGGCGATCGCACATCATATCGCAAAACGATGCCAATCCGACGTGATCATCGATGCCTATTGCGGCTGCGGCGGAAATACCATCCAGTTTGCGCTTACATGTGAACGAGGTAAGATGCAGATCCGCGCTTTTCCTCTTTATCGGATCAATGACACTTCGAGTAGTGATTGCAATCGATATCGACCCGGTGAAGTTGCACTGCGCGCGAGAGAATGCAAAGATCTATGGCGTCGAGGACCGGATCGAGTTCATCCACGGTAATTTCCTCGAACTTGCACCAAGCCTCAAGGCAGACGTCATCTTTTTATCGCCTCCATGGGGTGGCCCATCCTACCTAAGTGCAAATACATATGATCTTATTCAGATGATACCCGGCAACGGGCAAGTATACCGACATCCTTTTTGGGCAAACGTCTTATATTATCGCTTTTTTTTTGCGCAGCAAGCACATCTTTGAACTCGCGTCCAAGATCACACCAAATATCGCCTACTTTGTTCCACGCAATACGGATCCTCAACAATTGGCCCGCCTTGCAGGTCCAAGCAGAGTGTGCGAGATTGAGCAAAACTATCTCAGAGGAAACCTAAAGGCCCTCACTGCTTATTATGGTGACCTTGTTGTAAAGCCAACGAGGTCATAATTGTAACGTTCCTCTTGTTCCAGAGAACTGAAATCACGTCTGTACAGTATACGCATACGCTCCCTCCTCTTCCCGTTGCAACATAGTAGTCGGATGGAGGAAAAAACAATTTATACATAGCATCCTCCCAAAAGGAAATACTTCAGAGACAAGCAATGTGTTGTACACAATTATTTTATACAGAAAAGTTGACTTACTAGAGCGCATCACTTCCGCGCTTTATGCAGCTGAAGCGAACCCCAACGAAAATAAGCCCTCGTGAAATTTACGTGTGAGAAATAATTCCGTCGCCCATTATGCTTCCGTTTCAGGCCATGTGAGCCTCCTTTTTCTTTTACTTACCGTTCCTTCTTCGTCTAATGTCGGCCTTGACCTCTATTGATAATCTCGTGAAGCGATACCCGACCGCAGTGAATCCCAGCAGTCCAGAATACAAAGCTAACCTGGACGAGTGGCGCGGCCTCATTACTCAGTTGCAAGAACGGCTTCACGAGGCATGTGCTGAAGGTAAAGAAAAGCATATTGCTCTTCACAAGAAGAGAGGCCAGTTATCAGGTAATGTTTGCGGGGAGGGGAAGAGACAGCGTTTTGCTTACCGAGAAATCATTGATTTTACTGGCAAACATTACAGCACGCGAGCGCGTGCAGCTCCTGCTGGATGAAGATTCCCCGTTTCTTGAGTTGTGCGTGTTTGCTGGATATGGTCAGGACGACATGACGTTGGGTAAAAATCCAGTTCTTTATCCAAATACTGTCGTAATATTATGGCTCATTATGTGCGCCCAACTCCCTCCCATCTAGGTGGCTCAATCGTCGCCGGTATCGGTCTTGTTAGGTAATAATACCATCACGGAGCAGTCTTTGGCAGTTCTAATCTATTGAAGATACGAATATCCAGTGGGGTTATCTGTGTTATCTCAGCCAATGTACCGACCATGGCTGGTGGTGCCATGAATGAGATGGGCGTTTTGAAAGCGGGTCGTATCCACCAGATAGCAGTCGACAACAGGCTACCCACTATCACCTTGACGCAATCGGTACTAGAGGAATGCGGTTCAAGCTTTATCTGTTTGCCACTAATAAACCGCTCAACACCCCTCTAGGCGGGCGCCAACTTGCAACAGCAATTCCGCGTTTTTCACCGTGGAGGCGCCGGGTTCCGCAACTTGGGTATCCAGTGAGTTTTTATGTTTAGCTTACTGTCATGGCTTAATACTCACATTCTAGCAGATCAAAAAAACAGATTCCCTCTTGCTGTGTTGTGTTTGGTAGTTCCACAGCGGGTGGAGCCTATACGCCTGGTATGAGCGATTATGTCATCATGGTCAAGGTAAATGATATAGTCGCCAAAGACCATGTCTCTGTAGTATGGTATGCATCCGCGCACTGATACTTTATGTCCCTTTCTCTTTTCAAAGAAACAAGCTGCAGTTTACCTCGGTGGCCCGCCCCTTGTCCAGATGGCCACTGGCGAAATCACTGATTCCGAAAGTCTGGGAGGTGCTGATATGCATTCTCGCGTATCTGGGACGAGCGATCAACTTGCTAGCGACGAGTACGATGCTATCCGCAAGGCTCGCGAGTGGATTTCCAACCTCAATTGGGAAGCTAAGGGAATACTGCCACCCCGTCACATCAAAGGCGAGTTTGAGGAGCCCTTCTATGATCCTGAAGAGCTTCTCGGTATTGTATCGGCGAACATCCGTTTACCCTTCGATGCTACTGAGGTCATCATACGCATTGTCGATGGTTCTCGCTTCACAGTCTTCAAACCCAATTATGGCGGCAACCTTGTTTGTGGGTGGGCGTTCATCCATGGTATCCCTGTTGGGATTCTGGCCAACAACAATGTAATTTTCACTCAAGAGGCTAACAAAGCGACGCAGTTTATACAGCTGTGCAACACAAAGTATGTTTGGGGTGATGCGATGGTCTACTAGACATCTAATGTGTTCTTTTCTTGGCAAAAAAAAAATTAGAAATACCCCTTTGATTTTCCTCCAAAATATCACGGGATTTATGGTCGGCAAACAGTACGAAGAAGAGGGTATTATTAAGGCCGGCTCACGCTTCATCAACGCTGTCAGCAATTCAACTGTTCCTGCCATCACCATCATGATGGGCGCCAGCTATGGAGCAGGCAATTATGCTATGAGTGGGCGTGCTTATGAACCAAGGTGAAAGCCAAAAGACAGGCTACTATTTCAGGAGTATACGGTTTGGTCGGTCTCATACCGATTACTATAGGTTCCTCTTTTCCTGGCCAAATTCGAAATGTTCCGTTATGGGACCTGAACAGCTGACGGGAGTTCTCGATCTCGTAATGCGCCAGGGCGCTGCTCGGTAAGTTAACCGGCTGCTTATCATCTCCAATGATGGGCGTCTGGGAAGGTCTAATTCTATACTGCTCGTTACATATGCAGTGCGGGAATTAAGATTGACGAAGAACTGGCATCCCAACGCAAGGCCCTCTTCCAAGCGACGGTGGAGGCAGAATCGGATGTTTATTACACCTCCTCCAGATTGTTAGATGACGGTATTATTGATCCTCGCGATACCCGTACAGTGATTGGCTTTTGCTTAGCTGCCATTTATAACCAGAAGGTTGAGGGTGGCAATATCTGGGGCGTGAGCCGTATGTAGAAATAAAATTCTTCTGCAGTTGCAAGGAAGCATTAACAAATACGTAGAGGTTCCATCAATCAAGGTATCACATATTCTCTGCAAATGTAATAACAGTATCACATAGCTCGATGTATTGCCATCGCAACCAGTTTTGCGCGAGCTTGTACTCATGGCCTTCGTCCTTGTTGCCAGTCCAGACGCTCCCTTCTTTCTTCATCCATATCATTAACTTCTAAGGCGCATATACCCAGTATGTGCCAGGATTTTCTGAAGGCCGCCATAGTTGATCCATTGCATCTTGTTCCTCAGTATCAATTACTTTTTTTTCAGCTATTTCTTCATCAGCCATGTCTCATTCAAACTATAAAAGAACACATTGGTACAAACAGAGATAGCAGCTTACTCATCCACGACTGGCCAAGTTATCTACGATAGTTAATTACATGCTCATAGTTCATACTACACGAGGAGTGCTGAACATGATCAATCAGTATGCTCACAATAACATGTGTAATAAGCAACGTACTTCTGTCCGGTGGAGATGATCTCTTTAAAAATTTGCACCGGCAGCCTTACTGAGAAGTACGCACAAAATAATATACTTATATCACGTGATATTTATCAAATGTGTAGCATATAGATATATTTTTTCGAAAGAAACCAAGGAACGGGGGTGTAGCTCAAATGGTAGAGCGCTCGCTTCGCATGCGAGAGGCATCGGGATCGACGCCCGACTCCTCCAATTTTTCTATCCCCGATTTATTTGATCACGTGACCTGTTTCATACATCTCTTTTGAGCTGTAACAGCGACTGGAGATAGATGGGTCTTTACTGATAATGATGTTTCTTTTAGATACATATAGGCTGAACGATATATATATATAAGTGATTTGACATGGCTGCATGACTCTGCCATTATACCGGCTACAATAAGCTGCGACATCTAATCATCCGCTAAAGTCCAGTAACTAGGTGGGAATTGCTAGCTTTGCTAATCCTGCTTACATCAGAATATTGCCTCTTTGGCAAGAACACGAATTATGAACATGTCAATCATCTTAAGCAGCTGTCCAGATGCAAACATAAGGGTCTGCGTATGTCAGCAGAATCATGTATTCAATAGGAAACTTAGTGTATCGATGAGTATCCACCATGAAACCAGGACTTTGTTAAATTCCTACATGTCCCGCAATATGTGCAAAGCGGGGAGTCTAAATGGTTGCTTTTTACGGACATAACCTTGAACATAAAGTACTCTTCGGGGTACTCACTAGACAACCATTCTCTTTATCTCCTGAGGAGACCGTGCTGCATCTGAAATGGCCTATAGCACCTCCACAGCACAATCATAATGTTAATGATGCTTTTTCTTCCCTTGAAAGGGAAGTGGTCCTTCTTCGGTGCTTAAGCAAGAAAAGGTTTCTCTTATAATATCCGTGACATGCTCATTTGACCAATTATTGTGCGTACAGGGAAACAGCCACTGCTGGTTCAATGGAAAAGACGGATCTCATGCGCGTTGGGTCATGTCTTTCATAATGAAAAGGAGAAAAAATAAGCTAATAAGCGCGTTAGGTATCCATGATAGCTCTTCGTTCCGAACTTCCTCATTTTTATATAAAGTCCAATATAGCACTCTCCCTCACATGCACGTTAATTGATATAGTTATTTATAATACTGGGGACTGGAATGAGACGGCGATAGGTCTTATATGAACTCCAGCAAACAGTCTAAGCGTCTCATTACGTACTCCATAGGCTGGCAGGGTATGCCGCACTTTAGCACAAGGAGAAAGCCAGTTTCAAGGTAGAAGAAAGACCATCATCAGTGCAGAAAAAGATGAATTTTCGGTTTTTAATCTCACCGCTGTACTTATCATAAAAACGGTGGTTACAGTGCCTTGTGGATGTAGCAGTCAGCATTGGTCGGTAGCAAATTGCCACGGACAGCGTATATAGAAAAATATCGCTTGAGAGACTGGTAAGTCCAATTGGACCATGGTCCTTGACTCTGGATTTTCACAAACGTCTCCTAGCGCTCTCACCATAAGATACCAGAGATAAAGCATATATGGCAACATTGAGTGCAGTTAGCACACTTTGGACACTTTGCAGGTTCTAATGGTGGGTACTCCATTCGAGAGTACGGTACTTCATATAATCCTATTCTTTTTTTTTAAAAAAAGAGATCAACCTAGACAATATCATAAGTCAGTTGCGAGAAATATATCCATTCATACCAGTCACTCACCACCGCCGTTTTCCTTGAAATATATCAATGAAAATAGGGTTAAAAACTGAACAGAATGAACGGGTGATAAACCGCGAAAGGTTGCATAACGCACGGAGGGAATAATAAGGGCATTGTATGATACATAATGAGGAGAACCGTCTGTGCGTGAAAACATAGGCTTGTTTCGAGTCTGCCATTCGGACACGCAGCTTTCCCGTACCCGAATGTCGCAATCGCTGCGTCTGATACTAACTGAACCGTATAAGACCATTCAACATATCCTGACCACCTACCCCAGATTGACGTTAAGTATAGTAACAAAGAAAGATAACCTGTTTATTGGCGGGCGATGCGCTACCCGTAAATTATCGCCATGCCCTGTGTTTTTTTTTAGCGTTGAATCCAAGCCAGTTGTAAGAGAAGGATTCAGGGGTTATGTGTGTCTCCTTTTTGGTGTAAAGGAGATATGCAAGTATGCTTGAGTAATGAGCATATACAACCTAACGGTGAAGACCAAGGTCAACGCTGTGTTAAAGCATGACTGTAGGAAATATGAGGTGGAATAAAGGGTACCAGTTTTTAGTTAAGGTGAAAGGACAGAGTCGGATTTTTATGCTGTTGTCATGAGTCCTCCCCCCCTCACCCTGGGGTTTCTTTCTTTTCGGGTTGCTGAGCATTTATTTGAATTACAGCATTTGTTCTTCTTCCCTTTTTTATTAAACACCGCTGTTAACCAGAATGTCCACCGGAAACGAATCCACTCCTCCAACAGCAGCAGCAACAACAGCGGCACCAACATCAAACAGACCTATTGTACAATCGAACGTTCAACCTGCAGGCAAAGCAATCAATGTAAAACTAGTGCTCTTGGGTAAGCTGGTCACTGGCGGTTAGAGCGCTGTGCTCGCTTATCCTCGCTAAACAAGCAATACGCCGTTGGGCTTTTGCTCTCTTTTAGGCGAGTCGGGTGTTGGAAAGTCTAGTTTAGTTCATCGTTTTGTGAACCGTGATTATGAGGCCAATCGTGAGCCTACTATTGGAGGTAATTCGGCAGTTATATGCATATATGCTAACGCCCTACTTAACTTTGGTCATCTACACCTTTCTTGACTTCTTTGTCATCAGCTGCTTTCCTCACACAGCGATGCAATCTGGAAGACCGGTCAATCAAGTTTGAAATTTGGGATACAGCTGGTCAAGAGCGATTTCATTCGCTTGCGCCCATGTACTACCGCAATGCTCAAGCTGCTATTATCGTTTACGACATTGCGAAAGCCGTAAGTCGGTTTTCCTTTTCTCATCCAACCTTTCTCTGAAGGCTAATTGATTTGTCTAGTCGACGCTGGACAAGGCAAAGTCATGGGTGAAAGAATTGCAAAGACAGGCCAATTCAGGCATTGTAATTGCGTTGGCGGGGAACAAACTCGATCTTGTAGAGTCTGAAGGCGAGAGCGAAGGCAATAACGAAGGTGACGAGAACGAACGACAAGTTCTCGAAGAGGACGCTCGAGCGTACGCAGAAGAGGCTGGTCTTGTGTTTATGGAGACAAGCGCAAAGACTAGCAAAAACGTGGATGTGTTATTCACCGAAATTGGTAAGCTGCACCGTCGTCGTTTCTAGCGGATTAAGAGATACTTACTTCTGGAGCGGATGGCAGCCAAGAAAATCCCAACGGAGCATATCATTTCTGCCAACAGACCTGACGGCCGTGGTGTTCGAGGCGCGGGCAACATTGATCTGATGCAGCCTGCCTCCGAGGTTCGGTCTTCCGGTCAATGTGCTTGTTAAGTCAAGAGCGCAGATTTCTATAAAAAAAAAGAAACCCATACCCGAGTCCTCTCCTTTCACTATCGTTCATTTTCTTCCCCTACTACAGACAGCTTCTCCCTGAAAACAAAGGGATGTGTTGCTTCTGTACAAATAAATACCAAATTCTAGGTTACTTGTCTATCTCTCTCTAGTGATCGACGTCATGATGCCCAAAAACGGTATGTCTTTGGACTGCTCTCGCTCGCTCCGATTCGGATAGCCCAGGCGGAGCGTAGCCCTTGCTTTGCAGTTATTATCCCATACCTTTTACTAAACGAGAAAAAAAAAAAACTCGACATTCATGTCTGCGCCTGTAAGATATCAATACCTCATCTCGCGGTACGCATCTCAGTTTCCTTGAAGGCATGCGCAGCATTTCTTGATTAATATCTTTTGGGGATGGGTTTAGGTCCGGCGACATTGTGTTTTCGCTCACAGTTGGAACCTTAGCCTATTTTGTTAATGAACGTGAAGATCCGCGTGCTCAGAATGGCAAGACCCTCTTTGAACTTTTGTCCCGGAGACGGCAAGCAATGGTCCAAGAACGCGAGCGAAAGATTGCAGAACGCGCTACCTGAAAAAAAAAGTTCAGGAGATTATAAATGATCTATAATACATAAAAAAGCACAGGATGTGCAAAGAGACACAAAGATGGGAGTCATCACCGTCAGCCAATGATACAGAGTAGAACATGTTGGCGAGACAAGAGAGAGAAGGAAGGAAGGAAGGAAGCGTAACACACATTTTTTTCTGTTCTTCCACGGACGATCTGGTTGTAACCAGGAGAAAAAAGGAGATAATTACCGTGTAATACTCCAATCCACCTTTTGTTGTCAGCGGGTGAAATAACCTGGCGATCATTTATTTTGAACGACGACGATCCTTCATGGTTTCGAAGTAACCTGAATAAAATGGTCTTGTGCAATGTTCTATGGCCAATGTTACCACGTGGACCGTTTGCTCAACATCCCACCCTCTTTTCACTTACCCACAAAACAACGTTGTTCTCATACGCACCAAGGCCTGTTGTTATCGAGCAATCGGTATTGCAAAACGGAGTTGATGGATGTATATTACAATAAGGCACCAGAGGATATCATTTCCCGCGAGTCAATCCTACGCGTACAGTGGATTGCATGATAGCCGTTCAGAATGAAAAGAAAACAGCAGGTAGAAAAACACGCTTAAACGACCCCGTTTTAGATAAAAAGAGCCTTGAATGGAATATTCGACTCATAACATGTCAAATTTGTCTAGTGGAGAAAGGGAAAAAGAGACTAATCCTCAGAGAACGGTTCAAGGAGTAAGTATATGCGTCTGTGTTCATATTCCAAATGGAAAGCTGGGTTGTCGGATGCAAAGGAACAATAGCCCGCCGAATCTTTACAGTTTTAGGTAATAGTGCAACGTTCAACACGAGAAAAAGGTACAAAAATGATAGAGAAGGAGTCGTTCTTCAAAGATTATTTTGCATTATATGGAAGAATATGAAGAAATGTTCCCCTTTGTCTATTGTGTTACTCCCCTTTTTGCGTACAACATCACCCAAAGCGCGGCTGTCCTGAATGACACCCCTTCTTTTATACTCTATTTCTTCTACCTCTTCTTTACGCTCTCTTCTCTCTTTTCTCTTCTGCGCTCCCTTCTATATGATATGCGTGCTACCGGCTGCTCTCTCTTATCCATCGCCTTGACGAG